GGAGAAGTGCAGAGAACGGCATCAGCTGTTTGTTGATTTCACCAAAGCATTCAATACGACCAACCGCGATGTATTGCGGATGGTGATGGGTATGATTCTCAGTTGAATTGAATGTCTATACAGTGGTATGTGGGCGAGGGTACAGCTGTGGACAGGCCTCGGATGGTTTTGCAGTTTGGTGTGAAGCAAGGCTGTGTGTTAGCTCCTATCCTATTAAATATTCATCTTCATGCAATGATGCGTCTTGTGCTTACGGTGTTCGTGTGGAGCACCGTATTGATATTGAGTTGCTGAACGGTGCAAGAACCCTAGTCTGTGAGACAACTGTCCGTATGTTGCTGTTCGCTGACGAGTGTGCGTTGTTTGCGCACAGCGTGGACGTTGCAGCACACGACTAATGCTCTGGCTTCGACGGCGGCCAACTGCGGACTTAACATCAACACAAGCAAAACTGTCTTTCAGCCTTCATCGGAGGTGCAACTCACAATGTTGACGCGACTCAGCATTGATGGCGAAGTTTTGGAAACCACCTCCCGCTTCTACTACCTTGGGAGTGAGATGTCGACTGACCAATAGATACGCATAGAGCTGCGTATCCGCGTTTCGCAAGCAGCGGCAGTATTCGGGAAGCTTGAGTGGAGAGTGTAGAACAACCACTAGCTTACCGTCGGCACGAAACTGATGATGTACAAATCCATGGTGCAGTCCGTTCTCCCATACGCCGGCGAAACATGGACGATGTACCGCCAAGACGTGAGATATCCTGAGCGGTTTCATCCAGTGTCTTCAAAGGATTCTGAGCATCGGTAGATGCGACTGAGTTGCAGCCACGGGGACGTTGTGCCGAAGTGGAATGTATGCAGTGGACTGTATACTGTTTCTGAGGCACTTGAGATGGCTCGATCATGTGTGACGCAGGGATTCGACGCGAATACCGCAGCAGATATTATATGGTCAGCCGAGTGTTGGGAAGCGGTATGCGGGGAAACCGAAGCTTCGTTAGCAGGATATGATAAAAGTGAGCCTATCAGGTTGAAAATCGTAGGCGATCGGTTGGCGTATATGGCGCGATATGATCACGAAGGCAGTTCCGATGTGCAGAAAGCCGTCGTGCATGAGGCAGGTGAGGTATCGACAGTCGCCGATGGGGTGCACACCATCGGCGCCGAGCGCATTGTGCTGTGGCACATGCGGTTGCGAGTGTCCGAGTCAGTCAAATCTAGTGAGCCACGAGCGAGGCCACTCGGGACCAGCATCGAAAAGACCACGGGTGAGAACGTAGGCAGAACAGGCGCAGCCTTAGTAGGTACGCTGCATTCGACCCACTAACCGCACGCTTGCGTGGTGAGTTTCTATTTCACGCGAGGAATTTGATATAGTGGGTGATTAGTTGGTCACCTCATTTTAATGTCTATCTGAATAGTTTTTTATTTCCTTACCCAAGTCGCTTCAACGAAAACTGGTTAATTTCGTCAATCTTTTCGCATTTTTTCTCTTTTTCTGCTAACTTGAATTAATCGCAGATGTGTTGAAAACACAATTATTTCATATAGTAATTTAGCGAAATGTTTACTCGACATGTCTGTATGTCTTCATCGATTCATTTTATATGATATTCATTCCAAATGATTGGCTGCTGCTTGACATCCCGGGTGTGATTGCGCTTGGTGTGTATGTTTACAACGTGCCTACGTGTCTATGTCTATATTGGCTCCGGGAGATAGCTGGTCGTTGCTGGAGAGGACGTGGTGCAAGACCTTCGCGACCGTGTTATGCACAACGTGGTTCCATGCACAGGGTTTGTGTGTGGAGGGGGCTACGTACATACCACCGTCTTGTGTGCGCTTGATTCCCCAAATACAGCGTGTGTATTTGTCTGTGAAGGAGTGTGGGCCGGCTCCGTTGATGAAACGTGGCTCACATCTACATGCCTCCCGGTCTTATTCCGTCGGGTTTACACTGGATATGGGGTGCGCAGATGAAGTTGTGGGTGGTGCCACGCAAGCTACCCATGGTTCCTCTGTAGGCGCAGTCGTCTGGCCACAGTAACTGGCAAATCCGGATCCGAATGCCGCCAACCATAGATAAATATATACTGCTATTGTTATGTTAACGGAAGTAAGAGAATCGCTCCATCCGAAATAAGACGGCGACTCGCGCGTTTCCACCTCGGTACTCGACAAGATGTAATAAACCCGGAAAGACATGATTATTGTCAAGGAATATGGCCACCTCATTAGGCTCGTTCTCTAACCCGTGTCCCGAATCGGATGAGAAAAAAAGAGCACTGCCTGCCGCATAATGTCATGCTACATGGACGAACGCCCTGATATTCCGCATAGCTAAGCATGCGAAAGGGAGCATACACGGGGTTCAATATACCTACATCGCATCCAACAACGACACGGTTTCGGAGTATTAGAACAAAAGACTTTTCTCAATTAGCGAGCAGTAAAAGAACTTCCTCAAATTGACCTGATCAAGCAAAGGATCCACGGGATCTCGCAGATGAGCGACTATTCGCCGTGGAATCGGTTGTAATGTTCGTTGGTTTTGCCTCCGATGGACTGACCTGTGTATTCCTGACAGTTCATACCAGCTGGTCATTTATTTAACATGGTGACCGCAGTCTGTGGTTACAAATTTAGTGAGGGCCGCATATTAGACGGCGGTCCTCTCGGGAGTGAGGCTTGCCTCATTGAGGATGACCAATCGAGCGCAGAATTCAACCACGACAACAGTAGCAGCTTTCCGATGCTATGAGCAGTGCATTACTTAGTACGGAAAGAAGAGTTACCGCTGACCTATATCAACATGTTTGCTGAGTACATAAGGAGCACCTCAGTCGAAGAATCTCGATCAGCAAGAATCAGACCCATGTCAAGGCAGTCGAGGAACCAGCTTAAGTACAGAGCCCAGATAAGATTTGGCGGTACTGGTACATGCGATAATCACAAGATAGGGAACTGGAGAAAATCGCGGTCAGAGGCTAATTATAGGAGTGGTGAGAATCGCCAAGGCCTACAACTGGTTGGACAGAACAGATGGAATCGAGCTACCTTATAACTGGAGTTTAGTACTAATCCGACCAGCTTGATGGACGCCGATCAATTCAGATCTGCGATGGTGTATCAGCACCAATCCACCACCAAGATCTCAGGCCTCAACGCGACACTCTATCTACCATCCGACTACTTTACTCTGACTTGACGACTCAAGAACACGCACCGGAAAACATCAATGCCCTCTGGTTTACACACTTCGTTGCAAAGATAGCCGATGTTTGCAATAAAATGTATGATAAATTTGCGCTAGCTCATGTGGCCAGAAGCTTTTGTATCACAAGGAAAAGGTTGCCTGGTAGATACCAACCGGTCGTCTGTTCTTCTTTTGGGCTTATCAGACAAATTATCGGAGTACAACCAGCGACGTAATGGTTGACTGACGCGCTGTTCATTAGGCCACTGAGATAGTGTATAGATCCCTCTGACATGGTGACTACCCGGTTGACCACTAACATATTCCGGGAAACCATTAGATACTTTTTTGACTATTAGATGGCGGGAACATCGACACTCGTAATTCGGCATCCCGTTGGGGATCTCATGGTGCTGCACTAGACCTCCTGTAAAGTCTGGACCCCGCGCAAAAAAAGTTCTATTTCGTAACTACGTAGTCCGTTTAACGATACAGAGCCATGCTCTACCGAGCATCAATGGCAGCTTGTCAAGAAGTAAATAAAAAACCAAGGGAAATTGGCCGATAAAGTAAATCTTGTCTATGCGCCCATTATCCTGGATTGCATTTCTGGGATCCGTGGATCAAGTGGTTAGTGACTTGATTTGGTTCGGATAAGTCAATCGCACGCGAATACAGAGGTCATATCTATACCGGTGGTTCTATTCTCTACAAGTGTACTTTAGATGGGTCATTTGCTTTTCACCATCCTCCTGTGGCGGCGGCGGGATGTGTCCGCATACACCATAATTCGACAGTTAGATCACAGTATGGTAGCTAAACTGAAAGTCAAACGATCTGTAATATGGGAGCAGGTTGCCGCTACATCCTAATTCCATTACATCAACTACAATGAATGAACGGAATTATATTCAGCAACCTAAACAGGACAGGTGAGCCAACATCTTTTAATGTACCTGTCTAAAAAGAGGGTAGAAAGAGCACGGTTCATGCTCATGTGTTGTGTGAAAGTTTCTCAGTTGCCAGGGCTAAGGAAGAGAGTTGACTTATGGGACGCAACCCGGAACTTTAAAGCGTAAAGGCCTGATCCGCAAGGCGGCGGAGTGAGAAACGTATATCGCAGACCGTCAGGAGCCCGTAACATGACTTCTTAGTAATAATAAACTAGCACCCGATTATAATAGCAGCAGTGGTCAGAAAACATTTCCTGGAATGTCCAACCAGTTGCTGAATATGAAGATCGTTGACAGCCACGTAATTCATGCGTCTAAAGTACAACAAGGACCGGTAGAACATTGAGAGATAAAAGTATCACCAGCAAGCAGTACTGAAGCCTCGCTGCCACGCATGGACTAAGGATACTGCAAAGGTCACCCAGCTAGTTACGCAGGCCCGAACCTACGACCTCCAAATTGTAAGGCATACCACGGATCGGCATTGACATCTCGTTGCCGTACAGCCACAGTTAGTTTTACTAAGGGTGGTCAGGGATTTCAGGCCCAAACAGGAGCGGGAACTTGAGCCAGGGGTACTGAGACTGCAAGCTAAAGGCCTGAACATCCATTACGTGAATAAAATTCTTGAACGCGATCTCTCCAAAAATGTAAATGCGGGAGAAAAATTTGTAGACGCGGACACGAGCATTATAGTAGATGGTTGGCTGAAGTGCCACCGAGTGAAAGTAACTGCGGTGGGAAAAGTACGCTGAAGCAAAGGAGCTGTGCAATTACACGCGGAACACACTATATACGACCGACACCAAGTGACCCTTGTATACATGGTAAGGAAAACACGTTTCAGGAGGAACAGAGCACAACTATTGCATAGCAGAACGTATGTTACAAAAAGGTTCAGCGTAGTGGAACACGGCAAGTACGGCAAAAGGGCGAACCGAGACCGTTTGTAGTTCCGCATGCCCTGAAAATTAATAGATAGGTTGATTAATGAACGGGTTTGAATGCTTCACAAGCTCACTAAGTTGGGTTAACAGAGAGATATATGGCCTTAGTTCCAATGTAACTGTTACGATTATATTCTGAAATTATTTCGTATGGAGATGTGTGTGAGAAAACTGATTAGGCTCGGGACTATAGATCCTACAAGACGAAAGGCGCATTCATTCCGTCAAATGCTTCAGGATGTTCCCGGAAGAAAGATAAATACATATATGATTTGTGATACCATAAATGTGAGCGGAGTGGTTGATTATTTAGCCCCATAAGGTAATTAAATGATAGGCGCTGATATCAACACAAAATTTGAAAAAGAAAACTAACAGCAGCATCCAGAAGGATTTAGGACATGATACTAGAAATATAATAAGGCCGACGACGTACCGGCAGGTGGACATGGGGTAGCCAGGAGGTCCACCCATTCTTGGACCGAAACCGGTGTTCCCCATCATCGGACCTGAGGCCATCGACCAACTACTCGGCGAATTACTGGGCTGTGCCGACATGTTTAAGAATCCGGATCCAAGCATACCCGAATTGCTAGGGTGGTTATGCATCATGCGCTGTAAAAGAGGATGGTTAGTAAAACACAAACCAACCGATGAGCTTTGACTACTCAGCATTGATGGTAGCTGGTTGGCGGAAGAAGATCCAGGTTGCTGAGGACTGTTTGATGCACGAGATGATGCATTTGGAGAGCTGAACCGCGTCATTTGCAGTAAATGCATACCCCCAGAGGACTGTGGGCGCGAGACATTCTGTCGTGGCTGAAAAGTAACGTGAAAGACGAGTGTTTCGGTAAATCACGAAATCGGACAGGGAGTAGTGCTACTAATTTAGACAAAGTCAGTAATGGGATGTCATGACTGCGGAAAAATCATGACAAACAATTAGGGGTGTACAAGTTGTGACATAAGAGAGGTGTACGTGACACTGCACACCGTCATGTCTAGTAAGCAACATAGTATCGTAATGATAATTATACCCCTTGGAGAAAGTAGAGAACCAAGTGACACTATAAATTCCTAATGTTGCGAACAAACTATCCAGAATGGCACAAGTACTGACCAACCCAGTGTGCAGGTATGGCTGCGGAGCGAAATGTGCAATCTGTAACAAAAACTGGATGGGGCGAAATGCAGTCTAAGAAAACAAAGGGAAAAAGGACAAATAATGGGTGTTGCTCGTTTGAAGACAATGCACTCCGCGACCGGTTTCGAACGTGGTTAATCTCATCAGGTGCAGTTAACAGGCACAAGAGCTCGGAGCTTTTGAGATGTTAGCCGAAATCCCTACTCCAACTAAGTCACCGAGTCGTTGCGGGCAACACACACTTGTCATAACAAGTAGTAAATGACTGATGGGGTTATTCTGAAACACTCGTGTTAATGGATTGAGATGCGGAATCTCAAATAGACCACGATTCGCGCTGAAGTGGAAGTTGGTCAAGTAGATCTGTGTAGATCTGAGGCAAACTGACATTGGCCAAACTGCTCACATTACATAAGGCGATCACAAATAGCACTCAAAGGTCATTCTGACTGCGCTTAATGCACAAAAAGGTCACAGCGTAAATGGAGCAGTATGTTCAGAAAGCCGAAAGGCACTAGAAAAAAGTAAGTGGGCGTCATTAGGTGGTCAAACGGAGCGAGCGCCAGTGTACGGCATTTTGGCACCCGGTCGTGTCAACTACGGGGTCAGGCTTAACAGGAGGCACGCGAAGAGCCGGCCAGATATAGAACAAAGCTGCCATGTTAGTAGATGACAAACTCGTATGGGCGTCGACTGAGTGAACGAGGGCTGTCCTGGTTTGAACAAACGGTCAGATATGGCAAATCGGTCACACGGAACGCGTTCATATTTGTGGAGGCCATGACAAGGAAAACGCGATAACGATCATTATAATTTAAATGTGTGGTTAATCAACAAATAATACCGTCTTTTCTAACGAAGTTTGACTTTGGTTTTCGTGGTTGGATTGGACGCCAGGCAAAGCAGTGGGGACAACAGCACCGCAGATGAGGCACACAGAATACGAACCGGAACAGGAATTGGCCCTACACTAATGACCTGCAAAAGCTGTAACGATTTTAGTTATCAGTTATTGGTGCAAAATTCTAGACAGAAAACCAGTTGTGGTAAATACTGTCAGAGATAACATTGGGAAACAAACCGCAGCCTTCATAGCAAACAGACAATCGCAATCTGACATAGTGCAGCGGCGAAAGCAATGCTAGTCTTTACTTCGCGTCCTATTACTAACTGCTCATCAAAATATTCTTGCATTAAAACATAATAGTTTGTTTTCCCTCTTAGACTTCGGTGCATAGGTTACAGTTGAAAGGACAGCACTTCCGAGAAAGTTTGGAGGAAGTTGTGTCCAATTCTTTCTCCACCAACCTATTAGAGTTCCATTACTGGATGCCGTAGTTGCATATTCGGAATTCGGAAAACGCGGTGGTTTCAGTGATGGTAATATTGAACTATCAAAAGCTGTCTGCGAAAAGTGAACTGTCTGTGGTGTTCAAAAGATTAAGTGCAATACTTGCAAGCAAAATAGCTTAGGCTAGTTATAAACATGAGACATGGATTGATAGCGAGGGCAGCACACACACTAGCCAATCGCAGAAGGATTTGGACGAAACTGAATAAAAGAATTTCGGTGGAGTTAAGGAGGAAATTGGGTCAGTTGGGAGCCGAGACAACAGACATGAAAGGCGCGCAACAGTCACATTCACATACGCGTTGTACTGCACCACGTGTAGAGATACACACAACCAAGCACAAGGCAATGGATAGAAGGTATGAAACAAAATGCTCATGTGGACACGTACAAAAAGTGTACGTGGCACCCGTTCCACCAAATCCATGTGTGACTGTGACAGTAAACGGTCCTGAGTGCATGTGTGAACGCAGGCCGTCATCGTCATCACCATTATACACGTTAGCTGTAGGTGAAAAACAAATCAGCTATGGTGCCACAATATAAAAGACACGAAGAAAAATCAGTAGCATGCCCGCTGAGACCACAGTAACGGATGTATATCGATCCGGAGAGCCAACAGCCGCATATCGTGCCGTCATATTATGCCTAACGAATGAGACCGTGATTGCAGAGGGGCGCTAAGCAGGAAGGGATGGACAAGGGAATGCACAACACGAACACAACTGGGGCCGGCTCTTCGCCATATCAGCTGGAAGACCGTGGTCGACGTGCAACACATCATCTACATGCTAATTGTCATTCATTCAGTCTGCAAGTTAGCTAGTAGTGGTAAAAACCCCAGCTATTGTGCCGCAAAACATAAGACACGCCAGCTGAGCCACTAGTAACCGATCGGTATCGTTCCGGAGAGCTAACAGTCGACTATTGTGCAATGAAAAAGTATTATATCATAGGACCGTGTTTGGAAGGAGATGCTAAGCGGGAGGACATAAAACGCAACACAAAAGCCACTGAGATCGATTCTTAGTCTTGTCATCAAGTATATCCAGTCAAACGTGCACACCATCACAGGGAGCGGAGAGACCTCAACTGAATCCAACTTCGAAGTGAAGGCCTCCATGCCATTTGACCAAGTCACCCCTCCTTTTCGTCCATTCACACCATCGCATCGCAAACAACGCACGTCGCAGGTGACGGTGTGCTGACATGAGTAACACATGGCGCACCCATCGGAGCTTGGTGAGTACTATAACAGTGCTGAGCAGTTCACCTCTTCTTCCCGTACCATAAACGAAGCATCGAGCTTGCTCATTGCTCACACGATGTTCCCACCAGATATGAACCAAACTGCGAAGGCACCGGTTATCAAACGTAACAAGCCTATTTACGTCTACCGATTTGATGGCCGTTTCACGACCGTATAGCGGGGTCGAACGTACAGCTGCATTGTACAATCTGCCCTTTAGGGACAGAGTGATGTCGTGCAGGCGTCATAAGTGGCGAAGATTAGCAGAAGCACCCCGAGCTTTTGCTATATGGTCTGTGATCTCGTCTTTAATTCCAACGGCACTGATACAACTGCTGAGGTAGTTGAATATCTGAACGACTTCTAGCTGATCTGCACCAACAGTCAGTGCAGGAGGCGGTCCCTGCCAATTTTGGAGGAAAGCTTTGCACTTCGAGAGTGCAAAGCAAAACCCGAAACGACTGACAATCAGTGCTAATCTGTCCGGTGCAGCTTGGTGTTTGAAAACTGTCACTACAAGTAAAGTACTCGTTCACCTAGGAGCAGCTCGTGTCATGTGAACGCGATTTCCATGACTTCGTCAACAGAGAAGTTGTAGTGGGGACGTGACAGCGGGCATCCCTCTCATACCGCTAGAGATATGGGAGAGTTGCGACAGCTTGCCGCAAGACCTCATTCTGCCCGAGCGACGCGCGTAAAGCGCTAGGATAATATTTGCATATTTCTCGAGAACACTTTTCCTTAGCAGACAGTCCTAAAGGGCAAATCGATCAAACGAATCGAAGACACCTTTGATGTCGAGGAACACAACTACGGTGGGCCGTCAATATATGTGACGGTGTTCAAACAATTGGCACAAAGTAAAGATGTAATCGAGGCAACCCCGACCTCGACGAAACCCGCCTTCCTACTTACCAATCTGGCCTTCATGAGTGCCAATCAATCTGTGAAGGATGACAGAGGGAAGCAATTTGTAATCGATGGAGACCAGACTGATTCCTCTATGGCTGTCGCGTTCCGAACGTCAGCCTCCTTGAATATTGTAATATAACGGAGCGGCCCCAGTTGGTTGAGACAGATTTCTGTTCCCAGTTTTATTAGTAACTAGTATAAACTATCCACAAGAGCAGGGCCTCGAATTACAAGTGTTGGAGGAGGATTACCTGATCTCGCGGCATTACTCAACTGCTGGGCGAGAGAATGGATCAAAAGACGCAACCCAGAGAGGAGAGTGACGGCCGACCGGTGAAAAGTCTTACAATGCCGGCCAATTAAATTTCCTTTCAAAATGCTCATCCCATGGATCCAAGCGTTGTGACAAGTTTGGCTGTCTACTCTCTTCACAAAGTTCCACTAACACCAGATTTCCTGCTGCCCGTTCGTTATATCAGACAGAATAACTTCCGATGGTTATCAAGAGCAGCAGCGATTTTAATCTCTGACGCACGATGAGACCACCAGGATTCGAGGTCTCCCAACAGCCTAGCAGGCAGTATTGCCCTGAGATCTTTGAATGATCGCTTCTTGCCGGAATGTGCCTGCGAACGTCGATAAATTGCAAAGACAGCAAAGAGACCCTGTGTCTATGTTGAACATTGGATTTATCACATGTGGACCTACCTGGTGCTACTAAAATCTGGTGAACATGCAACCAGTGATCTTCAATGGTATTCAGTGAGCACTTGCTCAACCCAAATGTCAGTGTACTTCGAGACGCATTCAGAACATCTGGCCTCGCCAGTTGGCTGGTGTCTATGTGCATACCGGGGGTCCGCCGAAACGCATCCGCAGATCAGCACAAACAAGTGCATGATCAGTGTCCACAAATGTGGTCCAAATCAAGCGATAGATTTGGACGCAGTTTGTCCAGTGGTAACGGATCGCAATGTGATCGATTTGCGCCCAAGACTAGTAGGCGCCATGTCACCCTCCGGCGGATGCTGTGTGGATACTGCTCGCAAGAAATAAGCGAGTATCTCTGCACAAATGAAGTAACCGCTCACCGTTATCATTACGGGATCCTACACCGTGTTGGCCACCCAGATAATGCTCACAAGTGGACGATCTTCCAACCT